AGCGCACAGCTGCGTAGTAGATCATAGCTTGGTAGCGAGTGAAAGCTTGGACCAAGCAAATCAATAGGCCAAGAAAGCCTGGAAGGTAAACCTTGAAACCCAATGAAAAATGTAAGCTATGGAAGGGGCAGGTGAAAAGCTTGCCGTAAAATACCATGAAATGTAAGGTAATCTCAGAACATCTAAAAACGCTGGGTAGTGCACAGCTGCGTAGTAGATCATAGCTTGGTAGCGAGTGAAAGCTAGGACCAAGCAAATCACTAGGCCAAGAAAGCCTGGAAGGTAAACGTTGAAACCCAAATGAAAAATGTAAGCTATGGAAGGGGCAGGTGAAAAGCTTGCTGTAAAATACCATGAATGTCAATGTAAGGTAATCTAAAAACATCTAACGACGCTGGGGAGTGCACAGCTGCGTAGTAGATCATGCTTGGTGGCGAGTGAAAGCTAGAACAATAGGCCAAGAATGTCTGGAAGGTAAACGGTGAAACCCAAATGAAACATGTAAGCTATGGAAGGGGCAGGTGAAAAGCTTGCTGTAAAATACGGCTAGATGCAATGCACAAACCAGAAGCATAGAGGAAAAGAAGCTCTGAGAATGTTTGGCATGTCATTTGCAGGCTGTTTGCATACTTCGACATACGTCAGATTGATTTTTTACATTTTTCCTATGACAGAGGAAAAATGTAAGCTTACATTTTTGAGGTCCCCCTGGGTTTTTAGTAAAATTCAGGGGGACCTCAGAAATGTAAGCTTACATTTTTGCGGTCCAAAAAAATGTAAGCTTACATTTTTGAGGTCCGAAAACATAGGAAAATGTAAGTTACATTTTTGGACGTCCCCCCCTCTTAATTTGCGGGGATCTACTACTACGACGACGACGACGACCACCACCACCACCACTGCGCGACCACCACGACCACCACGACCACCAGGACCACCACCACGACCACGACGACCACGACGACCACGACGACCACGACGACGACCACGACGACGACCACGACCACGACCACGACCACGACCACGACCACGACCACGACCACGACCACGACCACGACGACGACGACGACGCTGGCGACGACGACGACGACTACGACGACGACGACTACGACTACGACTACGACTATACGACTACGACTACTACTACTAGTACATGGCCGGCCGGCCGGCCGCTATTTGGCCAGCCGGCCGGCCGGCTGCCGGAGAAATAGCAGGCCGGGCTGTCATTTTTTATGACCTTCCAGCCCTTGGCTGCATGCAGTTCGACTGCTACAAACGGTCGAGTCTCGAATGTGTGCTGTGGCTGCTGCTGAGTCGACAGCCCACGCGGAGTTCCGTTCACAGCCCAGCGCAGCAAGTGGAAACAGGCGGTAACCGATTCAACTTTGCTAAAGACAGAAGCCTCCTTGTTGATGCGTGTCGGCACATGGCACCACAGGATACAACATGCATCATCATGATCCTTGCCCCCTGCTGTTCCAAATGGGCAGATTTGCAGGGCTTTGCCACTTCAACGCCCTAATTTGCATGTCACACAAGGAATGCGGTATCCTTAAATAATCCTTTATTCACGGCACCTCATCCATGAATGAAAGACATAAACATTGTTTTTTTGACGGGCGTGCATCAATATGCATCATTATTTTGGAATGTTGCAATGCCTCTCAGAGCCCTACTCGCAGGGCTATTGATCCATGCATCCGTGTGCACAACCGCTGAGGATTTGTGACAGCAACAGCCGGATCAGCGTGAAGCTAGAGAGTCTTGATGGAAAGAGTTGCACATTTGGCACTCGATCAATTCCCAGTCTAAGCACCGCAGCGGAGTCTTTACAAGCAATTACAAATAGATGTCAGTTTTGCATGGATGGGCATGTGAAGGACCACCATGCCCAGCTTCATGGGTGCAAGACTGCCAGACAGATTGGCATGCAAGGAAGCACCTACCCAGACACACACGCACACACACACACACTTGAGAAGAGTGCTCCGTAGAGCATAGTTTCAGAAATTCGGAGCGAGCATTAGCACTTTTTAGTGTTACTGCAAGTTAGACCTTGACTAAAGGAAATTGCTGAGTCGGTCGAACAGAATGTTTGAACATAGGCCTTATAGGTGAAACATGGAGAATCAGTTAAAATTGTGCAGGTACGTGATCCCAGCGTCCCAGGATCATATCAGCCATGGAATGCAGCCCTCTTCGTTGGACAACCAACTGCATCCATGGGGTTGTCCCCCTGCTTCTGTACAAACATTTCAATCGTAGTAGTGTGGAGTAGGTTAGTGTCCCTTGGAACGGGGGTTGACACACACAAGAAGCCGAAACGGCGCATCTAGTAACACTCAGCGCATGCATTCTTTTCCGGAGGGCCGCAACGCTGCAGCGCAATGTTCTTTTGAGTGACCCTTTGTCACGTATAACTGCACCAACGCTTGTGAAGTGAGGTCAGCCATGTGGTTGGGGTAGGAATATTGTTGCAGAGTGTGATGTCTGGATTGCAAACCGGATAGCCGCAGCCGGTGGCTTCCAGCAGAATGGATGTCGCGTATCTGCCATGGATGGGTGGGAAGTTGGAACGTGACAGTTCTGGTCAATGGGTCAATGTGGGAACCTAGAAGATGATTGTCCTCCACTGGCTCGATTTCAATTGGCTTCCCGTAAAGTTCGGGATGGGCAAGTGTGGTGATGGGTAGAGCTTGCCTGAATTGTTCGTTGAGTAGGATGTATTGATTGTCGACGTATCGTGTGTTGAAGAGGTGAAGGCTGGGTTGATGTAGGAATGTGTGGTATGTTTGGTGCCAGGAGTGTTCAATAAGTGTGATAGCGACGTTGCAGAGTGCAGGGGAGAGTTGATTGCCGATGCCTGCACCTTGAATTTGTTGATAGTAGGTGTGACATGCTTGAAAGATGCAGGATTGGAGTGCCTGTTGAACGATAAGTGGTATATATGTTTGGTGTCAAGTGTGCGTTGTTGGGGGTGGTGAATGTAAAGTCATAATGTCGGCCAATGTGAGAGGATGTGGTTGCCTGTCGATTGAATTTCAATGGTGAGTGTAGTGGTGGGGTGTTGTGAGTGCCAGCGGTTGCATAAGCTGATGACGGCATCGACCAGTCGTTGTTGTGGAACGCTGTTGAAGAAGCCCACGAGGTCGTCATTGATGGCTGTGAAATGTATGTCCTCAGGGGTGTTGGTGAAGTGAGAGTGGAGTAGTTGTTTCCATAAGTTAGGTCAGGAGCGACCAGGAGAGGCATAATGTCCAAGGCCTTGGATGTTGCTCGGAGGAGTGTGCCTGCTATAGATCGGAAATAAAATAGCTGATGCCTGTGCGGCCGTTGCGCCAGGACTTCTTTTGTTTGAGGAACGCGACTCCGTGGGGGGTATAGAAATGCTTGCGAAAGCCTCAAGGATATGCTTTGTGGATGCTTGCCAGGTAGGACTGACTCAGGAGAGTGTGAAGCTGGTCTTGTGTCAAGTGGGGTAATGAAATAGTTGTGGTGTGTTCCAGGTGTTGAGGCAGCCGTGGAATTTGTGTTGTGGGCAAAAGACGCGTAGATTTTGTAGCTCGTGATCTGCGTGGTGGAGGACGAGCCTATCTGTGAGGAACTGTTGGAGTTGAGTGACGTTGCGTGAGGTGAAGCGGGGAGTGTGGTGGAGACTGGTAATGCGTTGGGTCCGTTGATGTTGAAGAAACGAGTGGCTGTGTTGGTGGAGGGACTTGGGGAGGCCGTGATGTCGAAGCCATTGGGAGAGGGTGGTGTCAAAGCGGTGAAAATATTGGGTCTTGGTGGGAAAGAATGTGCTGTTCATGTTGGCTTGGAGAAAGATTTGAAGGTGTGATGGTAAGTGTAAATCGTTGAGGGTGAGAACATAATGACCGTCGTGCATTGCGGTGTATGAGGGATCTTTGAGCAGAGTGTGCATGTGGGAGCAACTGCATGGCATATCCGCGGCTGAAGGTTCTGTTGTGAAATGATCTTCCCAGTGTTTGTGGTTATAAAGCTTGGATCTGAGAGTCTTGTGTGCTGCTTCGCGAAGTTTGGTTGTGAGTGGGTGAAAAGGAATGACGTGGTGGAAGTGGTGTTTGACGAGGCTGCGTAGCCATTGTGCGGTGTCCTTCGAGAAGGTGGAGTGCGCTAAGAACGGGATGGTGAACGGTTTGTTGGATTTGGGTAAGGTGAGATTGCGAAACGTGAGGGCTGAGTTGATGAGATGCAGGACTCGAGATCTGTCTGGTTCTTCTAGGCTGTCAGCCAGGAATACAAATGTCCACCAGAGTCTCAATAATTTGAGGATCAAGAATAAAACCGGATCGCTTGTGGGTCGAGCGTTTTTTGAACTGATCATAGTCTGTGTCAGGGTATCAAAGGGTCAATGTAGTAGCACGCTTTGGTGCAGGGAAATGCGTGGGATATCGGACAATGTGTTCGGTGAAAAGTCGATCAGATGAAGCTAAGCCAGCAGAGGCCTTTAGACCGCATAGATCATTTATGGATCTTGAGACCTTATAGACGATTTTGGCTTCTAAACCAGCACAGTCACCAATATAGCTCAGCTACCAATTTGGCCAAGCAGATGTTACCTCAAGCCTTTCAAGTCGAGGAAGGAGCTGCGCAAGGCTAACCAAAAAGTGTGTTTCGCGATGCACAAAGGCAACTTGAGCCATATATATATATCATATATCATTTATATATATATCTATCTATCTTTATAGTTCCTATTCACTTCGTGAAAAAACACGGAGCACATTGGAAGACAGATCGTACATGTTCCAAAAGCACCACCCGCGATCTTTTACTCCATCAGGATCTCACGTCCCAGCCAGGTAAAGCAGGACATCACAGCGTATTGCTGTACACTTCGGAGAGACAGAGTTTTGGGGTGACAGCCATTGCAGATACTCCTCGGTTCCGATTGAGAAATGCAAACCCTATTCCGAGGAAAAACGCACCACAAACACGGTTAATCCAATCAAGAATCTTGGCGTGTTTTATCAGGTCCTCATCTAAGCTGCACGAAATGTGTCGCGCGTTGTAATAGCTCTGGTCGATGAACCTGCGCCGTCCCGCGATCCGATCATGACTTAGAAAGAATCAGAAAGATACTCTTCATATATCTTCCAAGGGTTTAAAGTACTTGAAACAATTGTTGACTGTTTCCCCTCCGAGTCACAAATGCTCGGAGTTGTGGAGTTTGGGATACACTGGCCATCTCATGATACCATGTTCCAGGTGCCACCATGACAGATCTTAGATGCAACAATGCAGTTCTGTTGTAGTTGCAAGTTGTCAGTGCACCTTCCTAATCTATAGGCAAGATGCAGTGGTAGGATCTGCGAAAGTCGTAGTAGAATTTTTTGAGTTTATCTCGCTCGGATTGTTCCAAGAACTTCCTCAGTAGATTGCGCTGTGGCTTTTCCTTTTGCTATTTTGGTTTTACGTGGTTTTACACGCGTACGAGTTTCCCATTCTCGGCCAGCAGTGAATACACATTCGTGAGAGATATGAAGACGTTGGCCATGCTCCTGAACTTACAACATGCAAAGACATGGAGATCCCACACATGGCCAGACATTCAAACCAAGTAGCACAATCTTGCCATCAAGTGGGGAATCCAAAGCCATCTCATAAACCAATGGTGTGATCCAATATATCATGAATCTGGCAGCAATCCCCTTCAAGAACTTCTGGGAAACATTGGTGTACGTGGTCGCTGAGGGCTGAAGGATTTTTTTGGTAAAGAACTTTGCACTTGCGCGAGCTCCACTGGGAACACCTTACTTGGACGCAGCAAGGAGGCGTGTCACACTTACTTCAATTCCATGCTTCCTCAGAACGTATTAATATATAGATGAGACACGGGTGTCTTTACACCAATTGAAGTAGTCATCACGGAGGGAAGCTAAAGAGCGATGTTGTTGAAGTTCGAGAACGGAGCTCCATAAGCAGTCGGGCACCACTTGCAGGTCAAACACATGCAGTAAGTCGCAAAATATTCCTGAGTTTACGCAACTCAATTTCAAGTTTTGCGCCTAGGACCAAATTTGTTCTTAGATGCGGCTGAAAAGCGCCAGGGTGAAAAGCATGGCAAGGACGTGAAGTATGTCGCTCCGTGGATTCCCTCAAACTCTTCTTTGTTTTTCACCAGCCTAAGAGGTCATGGGGTTGCCACAGAAGAAGAAGGCAAAACATGTGTTTTGAGATCGCGAAGACAAGAAGCCTTTTTCTGTGAAAAGCTTCAGGTCCATATGATGTGTAGAGTTGTGTCATCTCCCCATTTTCGGTTACCAACGAAGAGGCAGCACAGTAGGGGCATGCGAACTTCCTCGAATAGTGCCATGAACCTAATGGAGGAACAGGCTGTCTCAAATCAATATAAACCGCACAGTGTGGCATCAACACATGCACACATGGCCCATGGAACCTGAGCCATGGACGCTTGTATTCGAAGGTCTCGTGTAACCAGGCCTGGTCTCCTTGGAAGCCTTCGATCACACCTCGGAAGCCTGACGCTAATTGTTGACCCGCTCGTTCGGCCCACCTGGGAAAATACGAGAGGTCAAACTCACGATCATCTGGATCTCGAGAAGGCCAAACACCTGAACCTCAGACATTTCGGGGGTAAGTCAAAAGATATAGGTGATTTTTTTGAAGAACACGCGGCTCAAAGAGTTCAATCCTAAGTGGGACACACATCGCATGGCAAGACCATGTGATCCACTTCAAGATCAACTGCTTGGCCTCCTGTCAAAAAAACGATTG